AAAAAAAAAAAAAAATCTAGCGCATGAAAAACTAAAAATGGTGATTCCCACGCTCCGATGTAGTTATTAAAATCATTGATCAATAGAGATCACCTTTCATCAGTTTCCTCTTTAAATTTTATGAGATCTCTGTTCTCTAGTTTTTATATATTTAAAATGTATATTAATTATTTTCATTTAAAAACAAATAAATAAATAAATAAAAACGAAGTGTCAGCTTTGGTTTTAACGGAAGGCCGAAAACAACAAAGTGGGCTTGGATTTAACTTTCAACCTTCTAAGTACGGAGTGGTTGGACAACTCTACATTTAGTTTCTAATCTAGTGCCGTCAGTTTCCGGTCCTACTAGTACTACCCATTTTTGTTCAAAACGAAGAAAGATGGTAAGTACGTCAATGCACTCCATCCTGCACTATAATTCAATATGAGAATCTTCCATTGCCTATCTTAAATATATATATATATATATATATAAATTGACCCAAGTTCTCACTTCATGCTCCTCAAGCCACCATTTTTTTTATCAAGCCAAGATATTTCATCTTAATTTCCTTTAATTACCTCTATGTCCTCCATAAATACATAATATTATAAATAGAATCCTAAAATTGTAATTCTAACTTGAATCCTACTAATAATATATACATCTTCATAAAATGTGTCACTACTTACAATCATACACATAGGGATCAACAAATTTTTTAATACTATTTTTGCATTTCAACTCTCATTATAGAATGATTCTAATCACCTAAAATAAAACAGTTTACACATGTAGTGTGCACAACTGTTGATGGTGCATACGATGATGCATACATGCTTACTTTTTGTTAACATCACTTTCAGTGGCAAGCAACATTGAATTCCCAAAATTGGCGACTCCCGAATGCTCACGTACTCTTCTGCTCTGAGTGGTTTAAGAGAATATATAGTTTATTCTTAGGGGTTTTATTTGATTATAAAATTTAATATTATTTATATTACACTATCTTAAATAATTGCTTAAATTTTTTATTTTAAAAATAAAAAAGTTAATTAGGATTACCATGCCGAAGAGTAGTATTTTAAGTTGCTTAAGGGGAAAAATTAAAAAAAAAAGAAGAAGAAGAAGAAAAGACAAACTATTTTAGTTCAACATGGAGTACAAATAATTGTAACTCAATTAATCAGTCATTCACAAAAAAATCACTGCACGTGACTTCTTCTTCTTTTTTTCTTTTTTTTTTTTTGGTAAAACCCAAATTTTGGACCTTTAACTTTGTTACAACTCCTGATTCGATCCCTAGTTCAAATTCAGTACTCAAACTTTAATGTTCTAGCTTCTTCATTTTTTCTTTTCTTTTTTTTTTTTTTTCCTGTTAGTCAACTATTGACGAGGGACTATTCTCAGTCAAATAATTTATTTTTAATTTCAAATATTATGTAAAAATATTTAAAAACTAAAATGATAATTCTGTTTGTTTGAAAGTGGTACTTTAAGAATTTTTCATTTGTAGAGTAATTAAAATTAGTGAGTTATTTTTCAAAAAATAAAAGACAAAATAATCAACTTTAATAAGTTCAAAACTCATCTTTGATACAGGAATTGCAATAGAGGAATCATAAATAAAATCACGGTTGATTGGTGATACTAGATATTCTTTTTATTAAATTGTAAAAGCAAACTAATAAATTTAGAGTAATGATGCAGGGACGAAAACAGGGAACGACAAGTGATGCAAGAGGATCAAATTAGTAATTGTACCACCTGTCGTCCTTCGTTTTCGTCCCTACATCATTACTCATAAATTTAATATTGAGGCTTAATTAACCGTTTCTAACATTTTATATGAGTTTATCAATTTCAGTTTATTTTTATAGGTTAGTTAAGGAATACCCATCATCACCAACAAATAAAGAGAGCAAAAATCTTACTACTTTCATGGCACTAAAATGCCCAACTCTGCTTAATGAATTGCTTTTACAAAATTCCAAGAAAACTTGTTTTCAATGAAGAAGGCGAAACTCAAACAATGACCTAAGCTGTTTCAGTAGTAATCTCATCAATGAATTCAAAATTGATTCTGGCCTTGAAGTTGCCAACTTGTTGCCTATTTACATCGAAGTTGAGCAGCCGGACTTTGAAGACGACTCCTCTATTCTAGTTGAAAGGCTGAGAGTGAGCTTCAAACGTCCCATCCATTCCTCCTCTGGCTTCAATTTGATTGGCTTCTCAATTGCTGCCCCACTGACACTTACCATTCTCTTGTAGTCATTCTTTTCAAAATCTGCAATGGCTTTGGATTTCTTATCCCATGGGTTCCACACCACTGTTGAAATATGCAAACAGTTTATGCAAATCAGTTTTATACAACTATTATCAAAGCAATATCAGGCTAGAATATAAGTCAGTCAATCTGTTTCTTGAGCAGCTCATGCTCACTCATGCTTTTAACATAGTGACAGATAACAACTATTGCCATAGGGGTGTTTATTATTAGGAATTTAGGATTCTCCTCTTCTAATAATAAACCATTTATGATATGATGTTGCTTTAGATTGCATTTGAGAGGCAGAATGCTTACCAACATCTGGAAGTCCTTCTCTATTTATTTTCAGGGTTCGTCTCTTTTCATGATCTAACACTTCAATGACACCTTCTGCTTCTACATAGACCCTATCCACCTGCCAATTGGCAAAGCACTTGGTAAGGCATAACTCATGTCAGTCAACAGCTTATGACTATCAATTAGAAGTCACTCTGTCTTGCAATTTTTTGTTTTCCATCTGATGTCTAGACTTGAAACTTGCATTTTTATAACAGCAAAACAGCATCAATTTCATAAAAACTCCTTGTTTTACCTCAGAATCAAATGACAAGGAAATTGCTTGTTCGGTTGAGCGCATCCCTCCTTTAAGGCTGTCAAGATAGTCACAAGTTTCCAATCCCTCTACTCTCACTTCACTGTTGGTAGGATAAATGATTCGTTAATATCAAAAGCTTATTGAAGATGGCACATTATAGATGATGGATAAATCAATAACCTAAGTTCACTTTCAGTTATTCTATTTCTAGCCTCATCAAAACAAGCCTTTGATCATAATATAATAACTAACTCTACCTTGTATCGAGAAGCAAGCTCACATATCATAATATTTTGGAAAAACTAAACATTTTCTGTTACTGGTTTTCTAAAGAGGCACTAGTATAACAATCAGAAGTTAATTAACAAACTATGTTAAAGCATTGCAAAATACATTACTTCTAAAAAAACTAGATGAGATGGAAAATGCAGGTAGGAGTTCACTTGTGAGACATGTAATTTCTATTTCAGATGCTTGCTATGCTAGACGGGCATATCCATTACCCAATATCAGAGACAGCCAAACACGCGAGATACGCAAATGTGAAAGTGAATGGCTTGCTACAGACATTCCGGACACGTGAAACCAGAATCAGGCTTCCATCATCTGCCAGAGCCACCCTAAGATGAAACTTGAACCTGCAAGAGAAAAATTCATAAATGATGCACATACATATACACATACGTTCTGAGTTATAAATTGCAGGGGATCATTGTTACAGGAGTACAATGCAATGCATATAGGCACATACTTGTGTGGCCAGATCTTGAGATCAACTGCACATGGATTAAGTAGCAAGTCAACATGGGTCATG